TAGATAGATAGATAGATAGATAGATAGATAGATAGATAGATAGATAGATAGATAGATAGATAGATAGATAGCTTAAAGCACATAAATGTATTCACGCGCTCACACGCACACGCATACACGCGCGCACTGCTAATGCTTTTTACGCATGCTAAATATTTCATGGGACTTTTCGTTTGTTTATATATGATCATTAGCGTGAGAACACACGGCGGCGAGTTATTGCTCCAATAACGGAATGACGTGTCCTCTTATCACGACCATATGGTTAACAAGGCGGAGGAGGAGGAGGAGGAGGAGGAGGAGGAGGAGGAGGAGGAGGAGGAGGAGCATGCGTAGCAGCAGGAGGCGGAGGTGGAGTAGGAGAAGACGAATGAAGAGAAGGAAGAGGTGAATGTATAAGAGTAGGAGATGGAGAAAGAAGATGAGAGAAGGAGAGAAGTAGGGGGAGGATTAGAAAGACACTCACACTCACACACACGCGTGCGCGCACACGCACACGCACATGCACGCACGCACGCGCGCGGTACTCGGGCGTGCATGTCTAGCTTGGCAAATCGTCACCCTCGTAAGTTTAAAGCTTGGCAAACATTAATGGCGCGCATGCGCAGCCGCGTTTCGATATTCGAATCCGCGCGGGCGTGAAAGAGAATCCCGCCGTGGTTAAATATTTAATGGGTGCGAAACAAAATGAAAATAGCAGAAGCGACAGACAACGACGATTACGAAGACGATGATGGAAAATTACAAAGAAAATATAAAATGGTTAGAAGACGAGGAGGAAGAAAAAGGAAGACGAAGACATAGGAGGAGAACAAGAAAACGAAGAGCAAAAAGGCCCTAAAAACTGTAAGAATATGTTGATGAAAACACGTTAAATAATAATAAGAATATGAAACGGACAAAAAGAAGAATCGAATTAAGAAGGAGGCAAATAGGAGGAGAGGAAGAAAAGGAAAATGGAGAAGAACAAGGAGACGGCGACAGTGACGGCAACGACAACGACAACCATCACGATGACAACCATCACGACGACGATGAGGATTATGACAGCCACGACCATGACAACGACGATGATGACGACGACAACAACTACGACAGCGACTACGATGCCGACAACAGCGACAGTAACTGCGACGGCGACGATGACGATGAAACTACACAGATATTTACCTTCGTAGACGGGCAGTGAGAAGAGGGATCCGGCCACGGTCGGCGCGGACGCCACTGACGCTGCCGGACTGCCGTGCTCGCTTGACCGCCCCGCCGTGCGTCCGAACCTGGACATGCCGTCGTACGCCGGCTCGGACACTACGGTCATTCCGTCGTCGTTCGAATTATTGTTCGTCCGCTTGCCGGAGATAATGCGTGCAAACGTCTTCAGCCACTCTTGCTTGACCAGTTCGCTGTCGGCCGCCAAGATGAGTGGGTTACAGCCGTCGGAGACAATGACAAAGGTGAACTTGTAACGACTAGACCCGCGCGTGTTGCATACGTGCAACGTTCCCTGTAGTTCGAACGCCACCTTGCGGGGACAGCGCTTGAACTGGTCCTCGAGGCTGCAGTACATCTCGAATGTGAGCGAGCGCGAGTGCGGCGACCCCTGGTGGGCGGAGTTAAGCGTCGTCAGCTCTCGCAGGATGAAGTAGCGTTTCGCCCACACCTGCAACAAGAGAGCAGCTCGATCACAGAATGCTGCCTTCTGAAGAAAGAGAGAGGGGGAGGAGGGGTAGAAAGAGAGAAGGAAGAGAGGGACCGAATTAAATAGACAGCAAACGGGAGAGAGAGAGAGCGAAAGCGAGACAGACAGACAGACAGACACACAGACAGACAGACAAACAGACAGGCAGACAGACAAACAGACAGATAGATAGAGAGAGAAAGATAAATAGATAGATAAATAGATAGATAGATAGATAGATAAATAGATTAATAGATGGATAGATAGATAGATATATAAATAGATAAATAGATAAATAGATGGATAGATAGATAGATAGATAGATAGATAGATAGATAGATAGATAGATAGATAGATAGATAGATAGATAGATAGACTAAATAGATAGAATAGATAGATAGATAGATAGATAGATAGATAGATAGATACGAGAGACAGACAGACAGACTAGACAGAAAGTAAAAATAAAAAAA